CTTTCCTCTCTTTCCTCTCTCTCCTCTCTCTCCTCTCTCTCATCGTTCCTTCTCTCTCTCTCTCTCTTTCTCTCCTCCCTGTCTCTCCTCTCTGTCTCCTCTCTCCCTCTCTCCTCTCTCTCTCTCTCTCCTCTCTTTCTCTCGCTCTCTCCTCAACTCCGTCCTCCTCCGCCTCCTCCTCCTCCTCCTCCCGTCCTCCTCCTCCTCCTCTCCCTCCTCCTCCCCTCCGCTCTTCCTCCTCCTCCTCCTCCTCCTCCTCCGCCTCCGCCTCCGCCTCCGCCTCCGCCTCCTCCTCCTCCTCCTCCTTTTTGTTGCAGAACACGTCGGTCGGAAAAAGTGGGTAGAAACATGAAGTAGGAAGGCGAACATAGTAGATTGGGTCCAGGCCCCCCCAGAGAATAACAAAACACAGAAGAAGCATGCCGATGCTTGAGGAAGGCGCTTGAAGTAGATTAGGATCTGGGAATCCAAAAATACATACTTCAACGACCGGGGCCCCTGGACGTCGCGACCTTCTCCCGGTGGGCCGAGGTCCCATCCCGGGCCCTTCTTCGACGGCCCCAAGGCCCCCCGTGAGAGCCCCCCGATCAGTGGGCCGAGGTCCCGTCCCGGGCCCTTCTTCGACGGCCCCAAAGCCCCTCGTGAGAGCCCCCCGATCAGTGGGCCGAGGTCCCGTCCCGGGCCCTTCTTCGACGGCCCCAAGGCCCCCCGTGAGGGCCCGCCGATCAGTGGGCCGAGGTCCCATCCCGGGCCCTTCTTCGACGGCCCCAAGGCCCCACGTGAGGGCCCCCCGACGCCGGGAATTGCCAAAACTGCGCGAGCATGTTTTAACATGACGAGAACTGCCACAAATTACAAAAAAATACCGAAAACCAAACACTTTCCGCCGACATGGTTTCACGACGCGAGCATGTCTGGGTCACCTGCCAGCCGATCCCCGCTCGGGCGCCCTGCCTGAGCCCCCCGTTTGCGCGGGCCACTGCGAGAAAATGGGGGCGATACAAAGAGGGGGTGAATAAACGCGTAATGACCTTTCGTGCCACTGTTTGGCCCCAGGGGGCTCCTGCTAGCGTCCCCAGTGAACACCAGGCGCGCGTTTCTTCACCCCCAAAATTCATCGCGCAACGCCCGGTTGCGCTGAACCCGGGGAACTGCCGCGGCGACACGCAAGTGACCTGGGGCAAGCGTGACCTTGGGTAAGTACGCGGCCTCAGGGAGCCCCTGGGAGACCAAATCCAAGCATGCAAGCTAGTGTTAGGTCGGGCATGTCCCCCTACAGGCAAATGCTGGAGGAAAAGTTTTTAAAAATTACCCTGCGACGTACCCAACCCATGTGCATCAAGTGGCAAGAGGAGTAGGCCAACATTGGCAGGAACAACGACAATGTAGACACGGTGATTTGTTGCGCAATCTACATGGGACGCGCATGCGTTGCACGACTCACAGGACGACGATCGAAAGAACGAGGATCCAGGCCCCAGGCTCGAAGAAAAACGGGGACGGGAACGAGGGGCAGGAGGAGGATGGAATGGGGGGGCGAAAGGCCATCGCGGCAGCAGCAGCATGCATGGAGCAGGCGAAGCGGGGAATAGGACGACAATGGAGGTGGCGGGAGGAGACAGAAAAAGCGCCGCGTTTTCAGGTACACGCTAAACACTGAGCGCTGCCTGCGCCATGTCGTCGCAGCGTTCCACAGGCTCAAACCTGCTTATAGTAAGTGCAAGAAGCGAGCGAGACTTAGCTCGCCCGCTAGCTTCTCCGCCTCATCCCCTGCACATTTAGTGCGGGAGCTGAACGTTCGCAGGCGCGCCGCCAGGTCTGCGGGCGGCCCGCGGGAAATGACACATTTTCACAGATCGCAGCCCTCCAGGGATGGCGAAGTCTAATCTGAATCCCCGTATGACGTCACTCCGCTGGCCACCCCAGCACCCCTCGAAAGTGGCGACAGGCTCGCAGATCGCAGCCCCCCAGAGATGGCGAGGTCTAATCTGAGTCCCCGTGGGGCGTCGCTCCGCTGGCCACCCCAGCAGCCCTCGAAAGTGGCGACAGTTTCACAGATCGCAGCCCCCCAGGGATGGCGAGGTCTAATCTGAGTCCCCAGGGCGTCACTCCGCTGGCCACCCCAGCAGCCCTCGAAAGTGGCGACAGTTTCACAGATCGCAGCCCCCAGAGATGGCGAGGTCTAATCTGAGTCCCCGTGTGCTGGACCCACCAGCAGCCCTCGAAAGTGGCGACAGTTTCACAGATCGCAGCCCCCCCCCCAGGGATGGCGAGGTCTAATCTGAGTCCCCGTGGTGCCTCACTCCGCTGGACCCACCAGCAACCCTCGAAAGTGGCGACAGTTTCACAGATCGCAGCCCCCCAGAGATGGCGAGGTCTAATCTGAGTCCCCGTGGTGCCTCACTCCGCTGGACCCACCAGCAGCCCTCGAAAGTGGCGACAGTTTCACAGATCGCAGCCCCCCAGAGATGGCGAGGTCTAATCT